TCATCATCTCTTTATCATTTTGATGTAACTTTCCCAACTCCCATGTTCATACGCTACCATCTCTTTTCATAGCCTCTGGTTTTCTTTTGTTTTTTTTCCTTCACTTCGCCTTATTTTATATACAAATTTATAAATAAACCCAATCCTAGACGTGTATTTATAAAAAAACCCAAATACTATTTAAACATAGAAACACACCCAAAATCAACATCAAAATCAACAATTGTATATTTTTTAGGTGTGTTTATAAATGAATTTTGAGTGTGTATAATGATGGGTTTTGGATGTGTTTATAAAGTGTTTTGAGTGTTGAGTTTTTTTATAATTTCAGCTCCCATTTTGGGTGTTTTAGTGAAACCCCCTGTTTTATATTCATATATATATATATATGGTAAATTACTCAAATAGTCTTCAAATTTATATTCGATTTACATTTTGGTCCTTCAATTAAATTATTCGTTCAAATGGTCTATCAACTTTATATTATTCGTTCCATTGGTCATACCGTTATATTATGTCAATATTTCCATTAAATATGATGGCAAATTGGTCATTATTTATCCTAAAATTAAGTTAAATCTAACAAAAAATTAGACAATAAGACCACTAGAGCGAATAATATAGAGTTGATGGACCATTTGAACGAATAATTTAGTTGAGGGACCAAAATGTAAATCAAGTATAAGTTTGAGGACTATTTGAGTAATTTACCATATATATATATATATATATATATATCCTTTTTTTTTCTCTCCTTTCATGGTCATATATATGGATTGTTTGTTATTTGTTTTGTCTACAATTAGTTCAATCTTTAGGTAAGGTGATCACAATATGAGCCTCTGCTGCCAACTGTCTTTGCTTTAAGGTATCTGATGCCCAACAAGATACTAGATAGTTCACTCAAATATACTATGCATGCCAACTTAATTAGTAGAATATTTTGGAAAGGTTAAAAAGTTGTGAAAAAGGCACTTATGTGAGTTATTATTCTCTTATGTCGATGTTAATGTTTAGTTTGATTTTGATGCTAACATGGTCTAGTTCAGTGAAAAATGACTTTGATTTATAAACTAGAAGTCTCAATTTCAAATCCCTATGGTATCTTGGTTGTATGTGTGTGAGAACACCCCCTCCCTCCCCCCCAAAAAAAAAGTTTAAACTATTGATTATACTAAAAAAAAAATTGATTTCATCCGGACATAGTTTAGGATGGATGTAAAAGTACAGAATTTAGGTTTAAACACACACCCGTCCACCATTTCCTAAGCTCATTCAACTGTAATATTATTTTTGTTTTACAACATTTGAGGAATGAAATTTTTTTAACTTAAACATTCTCATAGAAAAGAAATGATAGATGTATGACTACCAACTGGAATATATCCGAAACCATGATAAAAGTAAAGCAACTTCATTAAAAAATTATTCTTAATATATCAATTCATAGGATTCTAACTATATCTTTATATCTAAACTATGTAAACTCGAAAATTAATGGAATTTTGTTTTTATAGAAAACCTGAAATTTATTAAGGGGTAGTTAGTTTTTCATCATTTGGATAATAATTTTTTTTTTCCCATTACATCTGAGTGTTAAATTAAGTAAGATTAAAGCCTAACCTAACACTCATATTTAATTTTAAAAAACGTACATTTTAGCTGTATATAATATGAAGATTTAAATCGAGAGTTCATTTTCCCACTCCCATTTTCTCCACTTTACACTCCCTTTTGTTTTTTAATATTTTTTAATCAATTTTGTTCTTTCTCTTTCCTATTCTACTCTTACTCTACATTGATGTTTTGATAACTAAAATTAAGAAAAATTAACATAAAATAAAACAAAAACAAAAAAAGAAGAAGAAAGAAGTGAGAGCGTCTTCTTCTCCTTCAGTGAACAGTGAACATGTATCATAAGAGCTCCTCTTTTTTTTGCCTAAATATTTTCGAGAAAAATATAAATTTGTATGTGGACGACATTTGATTATCTGGCTTGAGTTTAGGAATTAATTCCTAAAGGTTTCCTTCATTCTGTCAAAAGTGGTTTCATGTTTTGCTGCAAAGAATAGTATCCAAAGACTTTGCATTTTTCCAATTAGGAGGCATGATTAATGGTTAATGTTGAACCTTTAATTTTTTTTAAACAAACACATCAAAAATTGAATAAGAAGCGTTGAATTTTAAATTATTGGTCTTACAGAAATGGGGAAAGCATGATTCATAAAAGACTGAAAAAATAATTTCCTGTAGATTCATATGCCAAAATTTGGGTATTCCCTAGAAACAACTCAAGTTCGTCAGAGCATCCACAGTTTTTTTTTTTGGGGGGGGGGGGGGGTGGGTGTAAATTCGGGGGTGTAAGGCCACTTTTACATCTCCTTTACATCTGCAGGGGGTGTAAATATGTTTTTTGCTCCAGTGGGAACAACTCAAGTTCGTCAGAGCATCCACAGTGGGGGGTGTAAAGCCACTTTTACATCTCCTTTACATCTCCAGGGGGTGTAAATATGTTTTTTGCTTTAGTGGGGGGTGTAGCCGTGGGTCCCAACCTTTTATGTTGACTTTTCTTCATTTTTCTTCTCTTTTCTCGAGTGGGTCCCGCCAGCAAGGGATGTAAAAATAGATGTAAATATACATTTTATTTTACATTCCCATGGTGGTGATGTATATTTACATCCATTTACATCTCCCCATTAGAGACCATTCCGGTGACTCGGAGTGTATATTTAACATACACCCTCATATATACTCCCCCACTGTGGATGCTCTCAGAAATGGTGGCTGAGTTTCGTCGTCAGAGGTAATGGAGTAGTGAGAAAGACAAGATGAAGGAGTAGAAGACGCTCTGACTTCTTTTTTTGTTTTTGTTTTTGTTTTTTTATTTTATGTTAACTTTTTTTTTAAATTTTAGTTATCAAAACATTAATGTAGGGTAAGAGTATAATAGAAAAGAGAAAGAGCAAAAAAGAAAAAAATTGATTAAAAAGTATTAAGAGCAGTTCCATTGGTTAGCCAGGGCGGGGGCAAGGGGGGCCAAGAAGAAAAAAGTGTTCCACTAGCCTTTTTGGGTGTGGGCTCCACAAGTTTGGGCTAGCTCTCAGGCAAAACCATCCCTTGCTCTACCCTGAGTTTGCTGACATCAACGATGACGTCAGCAACCAAATTTTTTTAAAAAAATCTAATTTTTTAAATTTAAAAAAAAAAACTAAAAATTTTAGAATTTTTTAAAAAATAAATACTTAGTCATATTTTTCACTTCTCATACCAAAACTCTATACAAATTCCTCTCATCATATGTCATGTGAATAGTGATTGTTATGGCAATGGGTGGAAACACCACAAGCCTTTTGTAAGAGTTTGTAAGGGCTATCACTATTCACGTAAATAATAATAGTCATTGCCTCCCTTTACCCTTTGTTACGGTAAATAAGTAGAAGTGCTCTAAAAATAAAATAAAGTATAAGTTAAAAAAAAAAGAGTGAAAATCAACTCCCTTAAGAAATGGAGTGCAGTGCAAAATACATTTGATTTGTGCAAAAAGAATTTTATAGAAGGGATTGGAGGAGAAGCGGACCAATAACTAGAGAGAATGGAAAGACTTGTCAGTTTGTGCCAATGAAGACAAAAATACTTAACGAGAGTGTCTCTTCGCTCTCATGCCAAAATAGTTGACAGACAATATGCAAAATTATATATGTAAAACAAAAAATGTACTGTAAAAGTCCCAAAAGGTCCTCTTTCGCGCCACCATTATTAACAAAAAATGATTCTCTTCTCTTTTACATGATATCAAATGCCTTTTTGCCCATTGGTGCTACACTATTTATCAATCTTTCACAATCCTAGCCCCAATTGAAACTTTGAAAAGAGGAAAAAGAAAACAAAGGAAAAGGAAAGAAAAGGAACGGTAAGGGAGTGGAAGGGTATATTGGTAGGTATTCTACGTGTCATGTTAATGCATATATATAGGTATCCATAATCGAGTACCATCGCCCCCATCGATCACCTTGTGTACATTTTATTTAATGTTTTTATTTTATTTTTATACAAATGATATTAAGAAGTGGGGAAATCGAACTTAAGACCTCAGGTGCAATAGTAAATACTCTTAATTACTTAAGCTACAATCCCATTACTATTTTATATAATTTTTTATTAGAAAATATATCTATCGTCATGTTCATTGTTCAGGGTTTAGAGTTTAATTTATAAAGATAAACAATGAAGTAATTCTATCGAAATCATAGTCATAAATTATATAAAAAAAACAAGGACACATACACAAAATTGGGCTGTCGATATATACATCCAAGACAAAATATCACAAAATTTGACCTAGTCGATCGACTTGACATCCAGACATTTTGAATATGAGAATAGTCTACTATCCAAGCATTTTATTCCCAAAGTTGTTTTGTACTAACATCTGGACATCTTTGACAAGTCTCAAAGTAGATACTAGTTATAATACATACATACATGGACTATCAATTTTCATTGTGGGATATTGATGTTCACATTTTCTTCTCTCGGTTTTCCTTTTTCAAATTTATAAGCCCCATCTTAAATTCAGATCGGTTGGAGACTACATATGATTGTATTTTTGGAAATGGATTCTCATTGTAAATTCAAAATAACATTTTTCAGTGTTGAGGAGAGAATTATATATATCATATATAAAAGAATGAAGGTGTTTGTGTGATCTACCTCTACACGAAAATGAGAGAACCAAAACCACCCAATCCATATTCACAAATTTGTAGATATATGAATATTAAAATTAGTGCCAATTTAAAAGGCGAAGCCTTTATAAGGAGCTTTGCTTCTTCACCCATGATGGTTTCAAAGTTCCAAGTTTCTTTGAAACCATCTCTCTCTCTCTCTCTCTCTCTCTCTCTCTCTCTCTCTAGACTGTAGAGCATAAAATTTTTGTAGTCAGCATCAAACCATTCATGTATGTTCTAGAAATTGTATTATATATATATGAGATATACTTTGCAATCTAATACTTGCAGTATTCTATTTTATTTTATTGCATAATCACAAGATTCCAGGAATTAAACTTTTGAACTATTATTCTCATTATTTCTCAATGCTTTTAGTTGCATGAACTGATATTTGTATATATGCGCCATTGAACATCTCTCATTTCACATACCAAAGCTTGAAGCAATAGTGTTCAGCCTTGCCTGTCTTTGAAACAAGGAGGGTGAAACAGGGCAGGAAAGCAGAGTAGAGAGAGAGAGAGAGAGATACAGAGATGGCGGGAAACGACTGGTTAAACGGTTATTTGGAAGCAATTTTGGATGCAGGAAGTAACACAAGGAAGATGAATGATGGGAGGGTGAAAATTGCAAAGTTTGAAGAGCAAGTAAAGGAGGAAAACATGTTTAGCCCCACTAAGTACTTTGTGGAAGAAGTTATCAATAGCTTTGATGAGTCTGACCTCCACAGGACATGGGTTAAGGTCTCTCTCTCTCTCTCTCTCTCTCTCAAGTTTTAATTAGTTTATGTTAAATCAATAGTTAAGCCTTAGCCAGTGATTAAGGTTTTGCAGCTTTTCCTAACCTCATATCATACCTCTCCCGTGCTAGCAAGACATTGAATTAATCTAACCAATATTTTCGAAAACAAATCTGTTTTGAAAAACAATGATAATGCATTTCCATAAAGCACTTGATGGATGTTATAAATATTTAAGTTAATGGGAATGAGATAATGTAAAGCACTTGTGGAACTCAATGAAACAGAATCTGATTCACAACACAGGATGAGTGATGAGAATATGTTTGAGGTTTGTGGGGTCTATGTTTACTTACACAAACACAATACTGATTTTCTCCTAGTAGACCTCATGATAACAAATGCTTTAAAAAACGCATATGAATTCATATATGTGGTGGTGGTGTTGGTGTTGGTGCAGGTAATAGCTACAAGGAATACCCGTGAACGCAGCAATAGGCTTGAGAATACATGCTGGCGCATTTGGCATCTCGCTCGTAAAAAGAAACAGGTGATGAGAAATCTCGTCTCTCACAAAGACAAAGTGCATATGTAATATTAATAGGGATATATGAAACCATTTCCATTCAACATGAAAGTAAAAAGAAAGAAAAGGAATCTCATTCCATTTAAACTACATATAATGTGCATAAAATTAATTAGGAAATATAAGTTGAAATTAATTGGAGACACAGAGAAGTGAAAGTTGTTTAATTTGGTGGGTGTGTTTGCGTGCGTGACTGCTGCAGATTGCATGGGATGATGCACGAAGACTTGCAAAACGACGTCTGGAGCGAGAACATGGGCGTAACGACGCGGAGGATGACCTGTCGGAGCTGTCCGAAGGGGAGAAGGAAAAAGAAGGGGAAAAGGAAAAAGGGGAACCACTTATCAAGGATATTTTAAGAACTAAATCCGACATACGCATATGGTCCGATGATATTGATAAATCTAGGCATCTTTACATTGTCCTAATCAGGTATTTCATTCATTCATTCATTCACTAAATACAGCAAGTTTAAGTAAAAGCATTGCATAATTTTTCATACTGTTTTATGTTTCTTGTTCTTACCTTGTTGTAGCATTCATGGGTTGATTCGTGGAGAAAACATGGAACTCGGAAGAGATTCTGATACAGGTGGTCAGGTGATAATAACAATAATATACTGATTAAGAATTAGACTAAATGATAATTAAATCATCAAAAAAAGTATGTTGGATTATGGACTTACATTGGTAGCTATTAATTTAGGTGAAATATGTGGTGGAACTTGCTCGTGCTCTGGCCAATACAAAAGGAGTCTACCGAGTTGATCTGCTAACTAGACAAATTACTTCACCGGAGGTAGACTCTAGCTACGGTGAACCCAATGAGATGCTCATTTGTCCACCTGATGGCAGCGGCAGCTGTGGAGCCTATATTGTCCGAATCCCATGTGGGCCCCGTGACAAGTAATAACTCACTCTTCTCTTGTCTTCAACCCTAATGCTATGACCCTAGTGTCTACTGATTATGGTGAAGATGAAGAATACACACTTGAATTTGATTGAGGCATGCTGCCTGCAGGTACATACCTAAAGAGTCACTTTGGCCTCACATACCTGAATTCGTTGACGGGGCTCTCGGCCACATTGTGAACATGGCAAGAGCTCTTGGTGAAGAAGTCAATGGAGGGAGACCGACATGGCCTTATGTGATCCATGGCCACTATGCTGATGGTGGGGAGGTGGCTGCTCACTTGTCTGGGGCCTTGAACGTGCCAATGGTGCTAACTGGGCATTCATTAGGCCGAAACAAGTTTGAACAATTGCTCAAACAAGGGAGATTATCAAAGGGAGACATCAATGCAACCTACAAAATCATGAAGAGGATCGAGGCTGAGGAGCTGGGATTGGATTCTGCTGAAATGGTGGTCACCAGCACAAGGCAAGAGATTGAGGAGCAATGGGGACTCTATGACGGCTTTGATCTCAAGTTGGAGAGGAAGCTCAGGGTTAGGAGGCGTCGTGGAGTTAGCTGCCTTGGACGATACATGCCAAGAATGGTGGTATGCATACTGCACAGTTCCTCTCCTCATTATCACTGATTGTGGCTTGGCTTTTTCATGACTAAACACTGCCATGTCTCAAACTTCATTTTTTTCTTTCCAAATTCTTCTACGTACTAATCACTACGTGATGGTGGCATTAGGTTATACCTCCAGGCATGGACTTCAGCTATGTTATGGCCCAAGATACGGAAGGAGATGGAGATCTGAAATCATTGATTGGCTCTGACAGAGGTCAAAACAAAAGGCATCTGCCTCCAATATGGTCCGAGGTTGCATATTCTTCCACCTATTTTTTTCCTTTCACATGTTCCCACCCCATTCATTTAGTTATACAAAAGAAAACAAACGAAACAGTCTACAATCTCCTACATAGCTTTTCCTATAAACAAACTAGGCTTAGACTTATAATATGCACGTTATTACCTATTGATAACAAAAGGGATTTAGTTTCACTTCACATGTGGGGAATCAAGGAACCTAATTAGAAATGTCTGCCATTTATTTTGTTTGTTGCAATGCAGGTCATGCGATTTTTCACCAACCCTCACAAGCCCACCATACTTGCACTCTCTCGTCCTGACCCCAAGAAAAATGTCACTACATTGCTCAAGGCATTTGGGGAATGCCAAGCTCTACGGGAGCTAGCCAACTTGGTAAAGTTCACACTTTAATTTCCCATAACTCAAAGCGGCTTCAATACAGTAAATAATATTGCTGAATACCAAATACGGAGCATCACCTATTGTTTAAAGCAGAAACTAATACTTGGTAACACCAATTGTTTATGCAGACACTAATACTTGGTAACAGAGATGACATTGAAGAAACGTCAAATAGCAGCGCAGTTGTTCTAACAACCGTGCTCAAGCTCATTGACAAGTATGATTTGTATGGGCAAGTGGCCTATCCCAAGCATCACAAGCAATCGGATGTGCCTGACATATATCGTCTAGCTGCCAAAACAAAGGTGGATACTGTGTGATACAGGGCCTCAACTATTTCTTAATAGATGGACCCAGGATTATTTGTTTTTCTAATATGCACAAGTTACCTGCTAGTCTTTTCTTTTCAACACCTAAATTACTAACAGTAACACTTTATGGGGAATTCTATTGAAGGGTGTTTTCATCAACCCAGCTCTCGTGGAACCCTTTGGTCTCACAATTATAGAGGTTAGCCTATGCTGATTTTATGCTTCACCTCTAGCCTCTAAGCTCTAGTAGGGATAATCTTATGAACCTGTAATTACTAACCCAAACAACCCCCTCCCCTACGTTTTTCTCTCAAAACGATTTACATGTTTATATTCGTGTGATTATGTTTTCAGGCAGCTGCTTATGGCTTACCAGTGGTCGCCACGAAAAATGGAGGACCTGTCGATATTCTAAAGGTAACTAGTACATGTCCCATATCCAAACCTCTAGGAGTCTGCTATAATATAACCTACTAATAATGTATTTGGAAGTTTAAGAAAAACCTTCAAGATTCCATGTGACTAAAACGTGCAGGTGCGGATGTATGTCTAAGAATACTATTTCTACCACATTATTTCCATAATAGAGGTGGAGCACAATTGTATGTGTGGGTCTCACTTCTATTAGAGATGTGATGAGTCCAATCTCTATGACAATGTGGTACAATTAGTATCACTTTATGTCTAAAGAACTAATGGGTAGCTGACTCTGTACTATCAGGCACTAAACAACGGCCTCCTAGTTGACCCACACGACCAGAAAGCCATAGAAGATGCACTTCTGAAGCTTGTTGGAGACAAAAACCTCTGGCTCGAATGCAGAAAGAATGGCCTAAAGAACATCCACCGCTTTTCGTGGACAGAACACTGCCGAAACTACCTCTCCCATGTTGAACATTCCCGACACCGCCACCCCACTACCCGCCTTCAGATCATGCCAATTCCTGAAGAACCATTGAGTGACTCTCTAAAAGATGTGGAAGACCTTTCTTTGAGATTCTCTGTAGAGGGAGACTTCAAGCATAATGGAGAGCTTGATGCAGCAACGAGACAGAGGGAACTCATTGAAGCCATAACTAGAATGGCTTCATCCAACAGCAATACCGGTGTTAATTATGGTCCTGGTAGAAGGCAGAGGCTATTTGTAATAGCCATTGATTGTTATGACCAGAATGGAGATGATGCCCAGATATTTCAGGAAACTCTGATGACTGTAAAGAAAGCAGCAAGCGTAGGCTATGGCCAGGGGCAAGTAGGTTTTGTGTTGTTAACTGGTTCAAGTTTACAAGAGACCATCAAATCATTTAAAGACTGCCAAGTAAACATAGAAGATTTTGATGCGCTGGTCTGCAAAAGTGGGAGTGAAATGTATTACCCATGGAGGGATTTGGCAGCTGATGCAGATTATGAAATCCATATTGAGTATAGATGGCCTGGAGAGAATGTGAGGTCCATGGTGCCAAGGCTAGCCACGTTAGAAGTTGGGGCTGAGGATGACATCATGGAGTATGCAGGATCAAGTAGCTCTAGGTGCTACTCTTATAATGTGAAACCAGGAGCCAAGGTGAGAAACTTACTATGCTGTAGAAAAATTACTAACCTCAATGGAAAGTGGTGCCTTAACACATACATTTGTAGTTTCATAAATTTTTTATAATGATCTGGTGTATCAATTTCAGACTCGAAGGGTCGATGACGTGCGCCAAAGGCTGCGGATGAGGGGCTTCCGGTGCAACCTTGTCTACACTCGTGTAGCATCAAGATTAAATGTTGTACCACTAGTTGCATCAAGAATACAAGCACTAAGGTTGGGTTTCATTTACTTACTATATTATGCAAGACATCAAAAAAATGCTTAGTTATGATTAAATTAATGTTCTTTTGTGCTATGTAGATATCTTTCCATCCGGTGGGGAATTGATCTATCCAAAGTGGTTGTGTTTGTGGGGGAAAAAGGAGATACAGATTATGAAGACCTGCTGGCTGGCCTCCATAAGACCCTAGTTCTAAGAAGTTCGGTTGAGTATGGCAGTGAGAAGCTTGTTCATGGTGAAGATAGTTTCAAAAGAGAAGATGTAGTCCCACAAGATAGCCCTAACATTGTCCTTGTGGAGAGCTATCAAGCCCATGATATCTCAGCAGCAATTGAAGCAATGGGGATCAAGTGATTTTTGTTTTTCCATTATTTCTCCTTTGCTTCTCTATATAGGGAATATATTTCGACAACTCAAGCACAAGTCTGAGTACCACACATAAGAGAATATACATCTCAACTTCTTGTAAGTAATTTCGGTTTCTGCAAGTATATACATATAAAATAACTGAAATTTCCATTTTTCAGTGCATCTTTTAATTTCATTACTAACTAATACAAAAAGGGCTCCCATCTATGAAATACTGTCTACTAGACATTCAAACACACCCTAAAGTGCTTTGTTTAAGCATTTGTTAGGCCAATCGTATTTCATTTTAATAATTATGAAACACAAAACTCACCTATATACATGTGGTGAATAATGGCAGATATATTTCTATCAAAAGCCATGTTGGATAGGTGAATGTCAAAGCCATGTTTCATCATTTTCTCTAAGAGAACCAATTTATCAAAAATTTGAATGATAGATTTAGCACAACTAATGAAATTCACCACTCACTTAAGATACAAACATATTTTCATGTACAATATAGTGTTTGCAATGGAAATAACGTCTATTCACTAAAGACAAACTACTTTCAACTTGCACTGTACCAACAACTAAAGTAATATCATTACGTCCTTGTTGCAACTAAGGTATCAGAAATTGTTTTTGATTTTTGTTTGGACACTTACCTGAACAGCAAACCAAGTAGTCCAGCCAACTGATGATTCCATTTCTCAGCCTTCCATCTTGCCCAAATTCATGCCCTAGTTTCAAGTTTTTATACACAAAAGTCCACTACCACTTTGTATTCCTCTCCACAAGCACATTTAACCACATGAGATATTTCCTGTAAACAGCACAGGTTCAACGAACGAAAGAATACAATTTATTATAAAAAATCATCTTCGTTAAATATATGCACTGACCCTAGACTTCAATAATCACAAATATCCAAACCATGAAATTTCCACGGAAACTATGCACCATATGCCAGATAATTCCCTTTCATGTCTATTTCAGTAATAACCCTTCCTTCCATAGACCCAGCTTTGGCCAGTTTGATTAGCCATATCATCAAATGATTACATGGTTATTACTTTCTCTAATCTTTAAACACCAAGGAAAAACCTGATAAACAGTCACCTTCAGTTTCTCAATTTGGTCCTGCAGAGACTTCAGGTATTCAGTTACTCCAGCTTTATCTGATAGAAGGGCATCGTATTCCTCTTCAAGGGTGTCTACATCCATTGCCCTTAGCTCTGGCTGGAATCACCCATAGTGAGAAAAGAAATAAAAAATTAGCGTGATGCCATTGTGCCAACCTCACAGAGTATATCTTAGCAACAAATTTAAATGTGTTCTACATCTGATTACAGTATGCTCACAGGCATGCATTCATGCACAAAGACTGCACCTATTTGTATTGAGAAAACAACTGACCTTAAAATCATTTTCCCTGCAATTTGCTTGCTCAATAGCCTGTTTCATCTGAATTGGCACAAGAAAGCAGCACAAGAATGAGGGTGCTTTGGAAAATATTAGCTTCCTTACGTTTCTTGTCTATTATTTTTCTTCTTTGCTAGACAGACATCATTTTTTATTTTTCACAAGGAAAAGTAGAGAACAAGAACAACTAAGCTTGGTAAAATACTCTTTCAGGAGAATAAAGTCATAAATAAATAAAACTTCACAATGAATAAACAATAACACCTTGAGTTGTAAAGCAGAAATCTCTGAGAGATGTCAAATAGTTGCAACTTTAATTTAATGATGTGAGAAGCAGAGTAAACTTCATATGATTCACTTCAAGTCAAATTGAATCTCATAACAGTAGGTGTCCATTTATTTACATTATAAATATATACATATATAGAAGGAAGACAGACAGACAGACAGACAGACAGAGAAAAAGAAAGAAACTTTCTTGTTGGACAATCCAACATGTATGTGGCCAAACTGCAAATCAAGACTGTTGATAAGGGGGAATCATGTCTAAATATTGCCCTAATTGACAATCTAAGAACGCAGCATGTCAGACTCTCTGGCAGGATATCCTTTATGCGTACCCCATCTAAAAGAAAGAATCAATACAATACATCTTAATTTTAGTGGAACAGCATCCCAGTTTAGAGGCAACCTTGCGGTTTTCTATAACAAGTTCAGATTTCATCTTTAAAATCTCATCAAGCTTGGCTTTAGCAGAGTCCAATATGGCCATTAGGTTCTTCCTTGCATCATTGCCCTGTTATTTAAAAATAAGTCACAAGATTGCCACTGCATATAGCTCCATACATCTCAAGGATCAATGAAAGTAGTTTCATACCTGATTGCCCATGCTGAGGTGGTTATCAAAGCTGGCCTTCCCTGCAAAGAAGTACAGTTTATGAAGTATTTGAAAAAATTATATTCCTGAGTAAAACTACTATCCTCAAGAGACTTCATCTTTAATTACAAGGCACGGTTAACATGGAGCAAAAGATATTTCCCTATCACTGATGTATAATTGAGGCAAGTTGTTCACAACCCATGATAAATACCTCAATTCATATGCTACCTTGAAAAGAAAAAAACAAAAAAGGATAAAATTATAAATACCAAAGCGTCTTTGCCAGGAAGGCCATGCTTCTTTCTTAGACTGAATGATTATTACATATTTTCATTTAAAAGGTAGGGTGCAAAGGCAAGTAAACAGCGACTTCAGAAGAATCAACAGTTAAAGTGCAACAGGTTATGGATTACCAGCTTTCGTTCAGAAGGACTAAACCTTAGACAGCATAAATAACTTTAAGTTAACAGATCACATTTCATTTGCTCGCGTCACCATTCAATTATATTATACACTACAGATTCTTGATGATAGAAGAAGGGGGTATGGTAAGAGTATAAAAGCCATAACTTGAAACTCACCTCTTTGCTCATCAGATATCTCCTTAACCTGCATAAATTCTAATCAGTCCTGCAACACAATTAACTTCTAGCTGCACGATTTTAAACTTTAAAGCAGAAGCAACAGCAAGAAAGATAAAAACGACTCAGCAGCAGTTACAAGAGCTTCATAATATGTCAAAGTATGGGAAGATATATTCATGAATTACACTCAAAGATAGGATGAAAAATAACTTCCTTAATAGGAACATTAACCTTTCTTCAATCAAGACATCAAGTCAAAGAAGTGAGGCAATTGTACACCTAGCTACTAGAGAAAACTAGAAAGACATCCAACCACACCAAAGGAGCTATATTACATATGTAAATAAAGAAAGATGAAAGAAAACATGAGGGTGTACCATTCCATGCTCTCCCAGTTCCGTATGAGTGTGATGAGAATAGACCCAATCCTGATCAAAATTGAAAAGGGGAACTCTAAATGCAATGAGAATAGAACACAACACAAATACGCATAGATGTGACTCCAAAACCAAACCTGGTGTTGCTGCAATTTGGCATTGATATCCTCTCTAACCTTCATGTAGTAAGTGCTGTTACGACGAACATGGAAAGTTGATAAGTTGATATGTGATATCAGCTGCATTCAATCAATTTAATTTGCATGTTGAATTACCTTTTTTCTATAAGCTTGGAAGTTAAGTTGGTCCTCTCTTGTTCGATAAGCTCCAAAGTCTACATAGGTATCAAAATATTTCTTGAGCATTACAACTTTCAATTTGATTGATTATTGCATTAACTTTCAATATGAATATGGCAAGCCACACGCGCACTAAAAGACTACCTGGATAAGGGTGGATGAATCAGACTCCAAAGAAACTATCTTTCTCTGTTTCTTCAAAATCAGTGAGCATATTTGACCCTTAGTGTTCTTCATATGCTCAATGTCTTCCATGAATCGTTTTGTTTCAGATATTGCTGCAACAATAATGAGTAAACAGTTCAAAAGTGTTAAAACAACTAACTGGAAAATAAATGTAAAATTATATTCAGATTTCACTTCTCAAACTCAAAACATTTAAATTATTTGAAATGCAATAAATGACAAATGCTGGATTACAAAATACACAACTAACTGAAATAAAAAGAAAACTTAAATGACTGTAACATCCGCACTACTGTAAGGAAAAATAAAATTGAATTAAAAACCCAGAAAGGAATGCAGCTTAGATACAGCCTGTTATGGAACCACATTTGATCCATAATTGATTCCAAAATCCTGTGCGATACAGGACTTATAAAAAACAGAAACCCTTGCATCTCATTCTTAAATCTCACTGTCCAAGCAACAACTTCTCACTACACATACACATGTGACCAAGAATCAAGTGTAGACAGTTTCAGCATGGAATCAAGATAGACCCGATTCAACAGTATCAAGGATGTCCTTTAAAAAGTACAGGCATTTTGTTCACATATTAGATGAGGCTACTCTAGTAGGAAGCTGGGATGCAAAGTCCATGTTCCAGCATTTGAGAAATAATAATACACAAATAAAAAAGGTTAGATGATATAGCAAGTCATGCTAGCAGATAAAGCTGAATAGTGGCCCTCATATTGGTACTAGAAGCAGGAAATATCTTCCAACTTGAATTGACCTTCTGATGTGAAACCAAACTATTATATATGCACCGCTGTATTCTCTACTGAAGTATGTGTAGTTTTTCCCTTTCCGAAATACAAGCAATTTAGAACATTATGCTACTTAACAAATAAATCTATTTTGACTTTTAGAAATTAATTAGGACAAAGAAAAATACGGATATTAACCAAATTTAAAGGGAAAAGGAATCTTAATTTTACTCATTTTTTAAAAAAAAAAACAATTAAAAGATTTATATACATGGCAAGTGGTCAGAGCTCAGACACAAAAAAATTCAGAAAAAAGGAGTTTCACTAAAACACCCAAAATGGAGGCTGAAATTATAAAAAAACCCAACACCCAAAACACTTTATAAACACACCCAAAACTCATCATTACACACACTCAAAACCCATTTATAAACACACCCAAAAAATATACAATTGTTGATTTTGGGGTTGATTTTGGGTGTGTTTCTATGTTTAAATAGTGCTTGGGTTTTTTTATAAATACATGTCTAGGATTGGGTTTATTTATAAATTTGTATTCTTAAAATTCATCGATGATCAACTAAACACAAATACTCACGAATTGCAAATTCCGAATTTTTTTTATAAAAAAACTGTATAGATATATGTGTAAGAAGTTGAGGGTGGAAGTTTAAAACAAATAGAAACTAGAAGAGATATTAACAAATAAAGTTTTG